TCTTGCTATGCGATGATGATGATGGTGATACTGCTAAATCTAAACTCTTCTCGAATTGTGTCGGCAGTGATTTAGGCGCACATGTTGGAAGACCGAACGATTTAGACGCCTGCTTATGGGTTACTATACCCTACTCTCCTAGGTAACTGATAAATGCAACTGAATAACCCACTTTTCCGAGAATCCTCGGTTATTTCTCTCCGTCGTCAACTTTTCACACTACTGTCGATGAACAACAACAGGGTTGTCCAGTGCTGAACGTAAACCGACCTCGATTTACCACAGCGTTGATCTCCCGTGGATGTGTTCCAGTACTAAATTGCAGCCTACTTTAACTTTTATTCAATTATTTTCCGTGTATGGGCAAGGTAGCTTCTTGGTTGTCTCCGATGGTAGGTGTTCATGCGCTGCGAACTGCGGCAAGATCAGTTATTACGCCAGTCCCGCATTCCAGAATCCGACTGAGTACTTGAGCACTCCACATTAGATTTGAGTGTACTGACCCCCGTCTTATGCTATCCCGCCACCGGACACGGTGTTTACCATTCGGTCATAATGTCAGCGATAGGCTTTTTCTGTTGAATTGTGTTTCCGGTCGATGTAGGACGTAACCGAACCATTGAGACCAGCGTCGTTGGAGAAACAGGGATAGCATTTTTCTACTACACATTTTTAAGTGATGAACAGCAAATGGGGTGAATCCCATAGTAGCGAAGACCTACTATCTTGTGATGCAAACCGGCAACCTAAGCCCCAGGACCTGGAGTGGCGGATTGCCTAAGGCCCCACTAGGATAGGTGTGGTATTTTACCGGACGATAGCAACGATGTCTGCCAACAAAGTTAGTATATCTCTACGAGATTGACAGACATCGGAGTTTGAAACCAGGCTCAGCCGTTTAGTTCGGGCCACACATCAGTGGTACCAGTGGTCTAAGCTTTTCCGGTTTTCGTCTGATCCGATCTCAGCGGCCCCAAGTCGAAAAATCCCACTGGTTTAGACGTATTCTTGTATCACGTGCAATAATAAAGCGACTGAGCAGAATAGCCATCGATTATCCGAATACTCCTGTAGTTCGCGCAGATGATTCTGTCGCCCTTCTTGGTTATAGGAAGTCGAACGTATGTCACCCAATCTTTGTTAGTGATTTCAGTATTACAGATGCAACGGAATATTGTTCGTGGGTTAGTAGACAGACTTTGTTGCTTTCAGATACAATGCAGTCTTTATTGAAGGAATCCTATTTTTCATCTTTCATTGTGGCGACTGCGAATTCTGATCTTTTCGGTGGGTTACGGCCGATTTCATATTGATTGAAATCGTCTGGTGGTACATTGTAGCTGCTTTGGGAGGCAGAGTGATCGAGCAGTTAGCCAAGGTGCTCGACTGATCTTTGAAGTTTTTTCGTTCCCGATGTGAAATGGTTGATGTGGTCACGCAATAATGAATATGAAGAAAGAAGAAACTTCTTTCTTGAAGCGGAGCGCATTATTCCAAACAGCTTAGCAAAGACTCGAACAGCTGTTGTTTTTCGTTCCCACTATAAATTCAGACCAATTGCGTTCACCCCAAGCGTTTAGCTTCGTATTGAAATTCGGTGAGTTCTGGAGTCTCGCATCCTTAGCTTCAGAGAACCACTGCTTTTTGTGTCGAGATGTTTTACCCAGTTGTCCATCGCCTGCTCGAAAACATTCACCCTACCTTGTGGGTGGGATTTCTGTCGTCTTGGTAGGTGAATCTTGAGATGGGCACAGATTAGTTTCTGTTCAGCGCCATTTGCGTTTTCCGTTACGGTTCGGATTCTTGATAATGTCCGGCCCCTACCGGGGACTCCGCAGTGCGGTCAAGAGAATGTGTAGACAATATGATTATGAGGTCCAATAGACGTGTTATGATGCACTGGGTTTTGAACAGCTCATCTTCAGTCATAATCAGATTGTCGACAATGACTTTACTGTTTATGGGCTTTTGCTTTGCTGAATCCGTATCAGCTTACTTCTTGTCCTCTGTTATAAATATTTTTAAAATAACTTTTTTTAGCAAGGTTGCTATATTTACTATGCTTGGACTCTGTCACATAGTAACTTAGCTTTCATTGAAGATTCAATCTTCATCATGGTCTTTTTGACCTACACGCATTTACCCGTGCTCTTGAACTGGATTGTTCCCAGCCTGCGGTCGTTCGATCATTGCCGTTACAGGTACGGATGAAAAGTCGATTCCCCTCTAGTCCAAATGGTACCAGTTCATCAGCCCAAGGTCACAAGTATACCGTCCTACTTTGTTTATGTTTATTTTGTGGTTCTGGTTTGGAGTCATTTTGTAAAGAAAATGCAAAACACTAGGTGTATGGATATGAATATCAAATATTTAGTGTACTGCTTACATCAACCGTTTTAAGGTTAGGCTTATGCTACAAAGGATGAGATCGGTTACCAAAAAAGCTCATTATCTTTTCTTGGGTGGAGGGGGGAGGCGACTCCTCGAACAAGTTGACTAGCAGAAACATGACAAGTCGATTAATGACCTATAATCCTCCTCGCCTAGAAGATGAAAGCAAGCAGAACTTTGATAGACATTGGTGTTCGCATTCTGGATACAATAGGAGTGGGGACCCCCTTCCAAACCTGGCCGGACGAAGTTATTGTAGGGTTGGGCAGTAATCATTATGTATTTGCCTGTCACAGGTTCTTTTTCATGGCGTTACTGTGCTTTCGTCTAGAATAAGAACATATATACTGGAAGTAACTGCACAAGAATTCCTTAACATTTCTCGACTTACTGCAGACTGCTCGTTCTGGTGAACATAATACGGTAGGTTTGTCCCATTGCTGGTACCAGGTAGTGACGCATCGTGCCCAGATCACGTGGTTCCCTTTTCTTTCCGTACACGTTTCCTTTGTACAAACCGAGTTGAGCGATCACATTTTAACTTTGCCACGATAGCTCAAATGTAACTTGGCTTTCCCAACTCTTCATTTTATCTCTATCGCAGAGACAAGCACTGGGTATGAATCAAACCAAAGTTACGTTTAAAACCTTCCTGGCGTGGAAAAAGCGCAAGGTATGTCTGCACTTTTCTATTTTATCTTTGTGTCTCTTTTGTCTGTTGAAATAATTGTTGACCATATTTGGTATTTTCCGTGTATTTTTAGCGTGTGGAAAAGATGGAAGCTGGTATTTCGGCCAAAGCCAAACGAGAAGCTGATTTCAAGCAGGGACGCACAGCCGGAGTAAGTTTCGTTGATGTCCGTTTTTATCTGTGATATATATATTTATATATCGAGTTTCAGCGTTTAAATCCAAACCGGGGCTCCTCAATCGTTAATAAAGTGAATGAGCGTATAAGATCTTCTATCCATGTGCAGTTGTGCTGTCTGTGTTCGTCGAACCACCAAGTGTCACTAGTCTTGCGAGCCTGACTTAATGTTTGTCTGTATCAACATGCCTAGGGAACAAATTGGTTGAGTTTGGATCTCCAAGGTTTGGATTTCTCCTCTCTTCTTAGCCAGCTCCACTACTATCACTTTATCGATCACGATCTCCTGGCCTGTCTATGTACAGCGGTTCTGGTTTTGGACTTTGGGTCAGCGCGTCCAAGGGTAAGCAGTTCTCTCACACCGTCCCACCGCCTAGCAGGTCAAGTTTTGGCTAGCCGAAGGCTCCGGTTTTGAACTCCCCAAGAAAATTCACCTGCCTTGGCTTGGGAAACCTGACAGTAGTCCGCCCACAAGCAAATCATAGAACGTTTCCTTTTTCATAAAGATTAGTATACCGTGATTTGTTTGGCACATAGGCTGAACGCAGACTTGTGTGAAATAAAAAACACAGGGCAGGCCCTCATTCGTATTCAAGAGTACGAAGTTGTTTGTCTGTCCTATTCAGATAATGACGGATACATCTTAGGCCCGGGATTGCGTATTCCACGCTCAACTATTTGTTTCGGTTCCACTCGATGGGTTCTGCTGGGAAGACATGTTCAACTGGTTGCTGCCCATTTGTGAGCTACTTTGGTTCCTATTAAACGGAGCGTGCGTTCGGTGGTTTCAGATATACTGCGTATGCATGGTAGAGTTACCCCAAACTCCTGATTTGCACGTTGGTGAAACGCCCTCGTTTATGCGTTTGAAGTGAATAATTGCAACAGTTAATTTCACCACTGTGCTCTTAGCTCCCGCCTGCTGCAGTGCGTGTTCGCTTGATTGAAAAGAGTTCAAACACAACTTTTCAAGTTGTTCTTGCAGTTAAGAATACCTGCCGTGGTCGCTCCTCAACAGACCGTGGTCACTATTTTCTTGCTTGACTACCTCAAAATAATGATGTTAAACAGGACAGCTGTGAAGCTGATTCCTGGTACCAGTTCGTTGAAAGTTTGGTGGAACTGTTTTAATTTATGTGTTCTGAGTCTAACGAATGTGTCGCCTACATGTATTCACTGACCAGGGTGCAGGGTTTTAGAGGTCTTACCATCCAATGCCTCATGACAGCGTCCGTAGATATAGGCCAGTGAGGGTTCCTCTTATCTGCTAATACGCCTTTTTGCCAAATTGACTTTCAATACTTCAAGTCAAGTCAAGTGTTTGCTTTATGCACCAACTAATAGGACCGTTTTTTGTTTTCATATTCCTACCGTTTTTAAACACTCCTTATACTTTATAACCATTGCTTTCGGCATTTCTGGGAGCCATGACGTCGCGTCTAAGGTGATCATTGATTCTTCTACTCCCCTAGTCTACCTTTGGGTTTGTTTGAGGAATAATCTTTGTGATTTCATATGAGGACTGGACTTGGCAGGTGGCAAGGTATTTTCTGAGGTTATATGCAGTTCGGGGCTCAACAGTCGGTTGTAGTAATCATTAGAAATTCGGGCACCTTTGGCGGAACACTGGAATGCCTATCTTTGATGGAATGTGAGGATGTGCATGCTCATATTGTCTATTTTAAATACTATATTTTTCATTATTCTTCAGATTAGTGGACGTGAAATGTTCGAATTCAATCCGAATCTTGTCACCGAGTCCGGCGAAGTGGACGAAGATGGTGAGGGTGATGTTGTTTACGCTCGTACGACTGAAGCGGAAGAGGACGAGGTAAGTTTTTGTTGCATGTGACTCACCATATATATATCGTGTACTGTATTGATCAGATATTCCTTCTACATAAATATTTGTCTCAGTTTGAGCCGCTACGTTGTGACCAATCAACTTGGGTATATGTTCACATGCTATTTATCGTACACATAAATTGCCTTCATCAGTGAGTCGTAGCAGCCGGCTTCTTCTTGTGTTCATTAAACGAACTAGCCACTTGTTTCTATAATACAAAAAACCCACGGTTGCTGTCCATTTCACACTGGATTGGGTCCGAATGCACTGTGATAAACGGATCGTGCTTACAGGAATAAAATCCATTTGTGAGATGGTGAAACGGAATCCAAGAGCTGTCATGATTTCTCTTTTTACAATGTTGTCACCTTGCCAATTTCAGACTGGGGATTTAATAACAATAGTAATGAGAAAATTGGGTTGTAAAGCGGGACCCTCTTAGTAGGCTGCTGTTGTTTCCTGACAATGTTTTTCTACTCGTCTTACATAAACGGGACATTCTCCTCCTTGCGTTCAGACTAAAGCTCGTGACTTCATCATCATCATTCAGTAGAGTTAACTTTAGTGCAATATATTTCCGAAGTCACCTTATTAGGCTGGATTCCCTCGGAATTTTCGAATATCTATATCTCCCCCCTTACTGAAGGTGGCGGTTTATAAGTGTTAGTTAATTAATAGTTAAACGCCTGGTTATCCTGGTCATTGCAAAAGCGCCACTCGAAGGGTTTCAGTATACGCTGAATCTCTGCGGTTCAATGTCGACTTTGGCTTGCTCATCATTTGGCTTCGCCGTCGCACGCTCACGCACACTCGCACATTGTGGATAGTAGACACAGCTTCTCGGTCATTGTCCGTTATTTATTCTCAAGTTACGGTTGGTAATAGTTTTTTTAAATCTCTATCCCTCCGCTGCCCCGCAGTATACTGGTCCATTGCGTGAGATTGATGCGAACACATTCCTGCTGACAGAAGAGGATGCTGATGATGATGAAACTATTGTAAATGGAGGTGCGTTCCACAAATTTCTTGATTATGATTGTGCTTTCATTTTTCGTACACTGGTACTGTCGATCTTCTGTTGTGCCTGTTTTCGACATCGAAAGGATGACCGACACGCTTTATCATGTTCACCACTCATTATGCGTTTATCGCCTTACTCTCATATAGTCGGATCGATTAACGTCAAACTGCTGCTGATCAGGTGTTATGCAATCCACGATAATGATGGCATCCAAAAACCCCGTTATCGTTGTTGGATCGCTGATCCACATTGTCAATTCCTACATTATCGTGGCTTGATCAAGAACACAAAGCAGAATGTACGATCAAACAGAACAAAGATTTACTAGAGAAGCACTGACTTAACAATGGTTATTCTCTATTGCGTTCACTATCGTAGCTCCAGCAGTGTAAACTTGAAATGCTGAAAAATGAATAAGCCACGTCAAAGCTTTATTATGGGAAATATAAGTGGTTACCGTAAGTGGTCCCGTAGGGTTTTTAGCACAACTGAATCGATTAGACGGGGACGAGGAATGTCACAAAGTTTCACTGTGTCGAAATTTAGGGTGGAATAAGGATTCATCCAATCTCTACTTGAAAGAATCAACTGTGGGCGCAGAAAAAATGTGCGTTGGTAGAGAATTTCAAGTACTAAAAATATGAAGGTAACGGAATGATTCCGGTATACTAGTCGACATTTTTGGATCACCATCTAGCATGAATACCTCTTGAGTTAAATGTTTGCGGGAACGGTGAACAATGAACTTGCTGGCCATCCTTTGTGGACATTCCAAAATTTGACGATCACACTCACTCACGTACTCAGTGTGGGATCGATTTTACGTTGATAAGAAACGTGGGAACAATGCAGGTGCAAATTCGCCAAAGACTCGTTCTAGCAAACCGACATATCTTACAACTGCGGCTGACTCCCTGGAGCCGTTCATAGCACAGCTTAGGTCGTCTTAAACGATGATACCAAGGGGCATATGGAATTTGTCGATTTCCGAGGAAGTACGGAAACCGAAGTTTGTGGTGAATCCATTTACTTCAGTGTCATTTTCGATCGACTATTGATAGGCTACTCTATTTGTTCCTTGAAGTACCAGTGAATCCTCGGGTTTTGTCACAGCATTCCAAACTTTTGCGTCCTCTGCAAAAAATAACGTTTTTGGCCCCCAGAACATCCGTCAGATCGTTTATGAAAACTAGAAAACGTTGAGGATCCCATTAAACTACACGAACTATGTGGTTGGACCAGCTATTGACCCAGACACCCAAACCTCCGTGGTGCTTTGTTCACACGAACCAGTGTCTTCCAAAGTCGATGTATGCTACGTCCGCTGCATCACCATGATCAGAAACGTTTGTCCATTCTTTTCGGGGCAGAAGCAAGTTAGTGATGCCCAATCAGTTACTCCGAAAACCATATCGCAATGAGGATTACATGTTGCTATTTTTCAATTGACTCATCTCATTGTCCGCCACAGTGGATTCCATAACTTTAGACCATACTGAAGGACAATGTCGAGCACCGTTTAGCCGGGTCATTACAAAAGTCGTCTCTATGTTTACGTAAAACTATCCTTCGTGCCCATATTTTTGGAAGCACAGTAGTGTCAGATATACGCTGGGCTGTACCTTTCGCAATTCAAGTTATCCGAAAATTATTTCAAGATATCTGAGCATCATTTCAAGCCGCCTCGTCGCCGCTGACAAGCCTCCCAGCGATGCCTGGATGACCAACCTGCAGCACAGATTTCTCTACCTCCAGTTGGAGCGCGAGGAGACGATTGTGAGACCTGCCTCCGTCACACACGCCCCAATTCCCGTCACATACGTATTGGATGTTTATCGTGCTAGTACGCGTCTCAGTATGTGTTTGTGTGTGTTCGTCCCTCTCGCCCCTGAAAAGTCATATCGGGCCATGCTCCGCTGATAACAATCTATCATATGCGATCAAGGCATGAGCCATCGCTTACCTCCGTAGCATGATACTGCAATCGAATAGAATTCATAAGCGACACCTCAAACGGTTGCAATATGATACCAATCGATCACGTTAGATCGATATGCGTATCAATGTTGATCAGATTAACATTCATTTTGTTCGACACTTTAAGGCTATCTTATATCCCTGTGATACCACGACAAAAAGCACCTTCAAGTACTGAACAATTTAAATGATCATTTTGACCATATATCCGGAACGGAATAAGATATCTCTATCAAACAAGGTGTAATGAAAATAACTTGACGAGGGCTATCGAAATATAGAATAAATTTCATGACAGTTATGGAGTTTTATAAGAAATTTCAAGTTCAAAAATTGGAATGTTTTCTCAAAAATGCACTTTTTTGAGNTGAGTACGGGCTCAGAATTTGATGCCGTTTATCGCTAAAATCGTGTAGTCCTACTAAAACATCAGTTAAAGTAGGCTGGAAGGTAAAAAGAATCTGTGCTGCGTGGTGGTCATCTATACATCGCTGGGAGACCTGTACAATACATGGAGCTGTCAGCACTGATGAGGTTAACGAAACATCTCAAATGATGCTTGGGCAACTTGAAATGATATCCGGACAACTTGAATTGTAAAAGGTATAGTTCACCTAATGACAGAGCTATGGTATTTGCCAGGGTGACAAACGTTTGAGGATAGATTTACTATCCCTGGAGATGAGTTTCGTTTCAAACGCATCAGTTTCCATACTATGCTTTCTGGTGGAAAACAATTCTAGTTAGTGTTCTGGTAGTGTTCTCCAGTAGCTGAGACAGTCGCAGCGCGGGTGGCACATGCTGTAAATACAGGAGCCTCTTGCCGTCTTAACATTTCAACTTGATAACTGCGAATAGGATGAGCACGCAAGTTTGTACTTAACGCGTAAGACAAATACCGAAGGTTGTTGTGGATCACTAAAGAAAGTGAGTAAACTCCGTCCAAAATTAAAATGCGAGAAAATATAAAATTTAACATTCGACCTCTGTAAACCTCCACCGCTTCATGTGTAACCACTTTGGATTAATGGAAAGCTTGCGGCATTTGTGAGGTTTGTTTGTACTGAACTTCTGCGACTGCTATTTCAGTTCCTCCGGGTGACCACTTTTCTAGGTGTTGCATCTCATTTCTCATCTCACATTTTGTGTTGCATGACGTACCGATCAAAGTTTGTTTCTTTGTGCATTCCGCTCTCATTTGCACCATTGTAGAGCATCAAACACTCCTGATGAGTGCGAGTGCCATTCCCGGTCTGAGCAAATCCCTGAAGAATGACAAAGATCCCGGTAAGTAATGAACGATTTAAGCCCCCTGCCTTCAGTCCGATCAACTGAGCGTGCGTTACGGGTTATGTGGTTCGCTACTCCAAGCCCCGGGGATTAGGCTACCGGTTTCCATCTCTCTACAGCAAGTCCTCGTGACTATGGGGTTTTCCCTGTCTGCTGTTCATCACACGAAAGTGTGTAATAAAAAAGTTAACCCTAGTTAATTATAACTTGCCCAGTTTCTTTTATGCAGCCATCGGCTTCGCACATGGTTGTGTAGTGAAAATAACCGTATTACCGGGTACACTACTCATTTCGTTTTCAGTAGTTTAATATTGAGGGATAAGTTTCATTCGGTTCGGAAGTCCACCTTTTTGACGTTTTCTGATGTTTCCAGAATATGTTTTTCTATACCCCTCCGTGTAAAGTTTATCGCTGTCTTCATGTTTTGCACTGATAGTTATATCGGTGTTGGGTGTCTAGTGCAATGGCTAAAGGAGTAAATATTTAAGATCGTCTCATAGTTACAAGATCGTCTGCCACACCTTTTCGATTTATTCCCTTGAGGCTTTTTATTATTTGTCCGTCATTTCGCAACTAAAACTTAGCTGTGTACAGGTCATACATTAGTTGTGTTAAATTTACTACAATGAATGAAAAATTAGGACGTATTATCTGGTTGACAACCAGAAGGATTCTACTGTTTTCACTTATACATTCTTCTGTACGATGGACTCTAGGAATGCGTTAAGCCCCCGCACAACATTAGAGTTATCATTACATTCAACCTTACTAACCTCTCTCTGTCTCACTCTCCATCGGTACAGGGCTCATTGCAGTGGACGAGGAACTTTTTGATGAAGCCGACCTAGATGATTTGGAGAACGAGTTGGACGAATTGGAAATTGAACAGTAATCCATCGGTCCGATTGCATTGTATCGGCAAATGCGTGTGCGTGACCCGACGTGCTTTCACCCACTGACACTCTCACCCCTTATCCTTCTATATTCGTGTGTGTTTCGTCCCTTCCGTAGTCTACCTAGGTTTCTCTTTCTCACATTGTTCTCACTCTTTTATCCCCAAACCAGAGTTTTGTTTCGTGCTTTCTGTGCCTTTCCTCTTCTCGATAAACACTATCAGATCCCACGAAGTCTACCATTTCGATTTTTTGTATCCTTCCTTCCGCCCCCTCTCACTCGGTTTCCTCTTTATGTGTATATGTTTGCGCCCGTGCAGTTTACCCTAACTGCCTGATTGTTGCTGAAACCAGACTGCTCCATGATCCTAATATTACCATCACCCCCTTACGCTTAAACTGGGACAGCCATCCTGGGTGGTGTTGATCCGTTCTTGGTTCACCCAGATGGTGTCTTGCAGACCGGTTTTTTTCGCGTCTGTCGACGATGGTCGTCGTTTGTACCTTTCCTGTTTTAGAACCGTGAAGAGCCTGTCGGACTCACTTTTTGTGTCACAGAGAATAAAAAAATGCTGCGAAGTTCGAGCAGAGCAACGGGGAAAAACTAGTTCGTTTTGTTTTGTTCATGTTCTCGGCGATCTAGCTTTGTACTCTCCGTTCGAATGAATCAGTACTTGGACCGTACGTATCTGCGTTTCTTGTTTGAACGACAAATGGAATAGATATCGTGTTCTTTCATTTTCTTGCTATATTAGTGTGAGACGTTTGTTGCCCAGCACAAATCCCTGAGGCGTAGTAAACGTGCTCGCTACATTCATATGCCAAACCAGAGTTGCTTTACCTAAGCCGAGACAAGCGGGGTTGATGTAGCTATTCGGTGTGATTGTAGTTTCGCTATCATTGTGCCAAAATCGTGCCTTACAAATCAAATATAGGCTTCCGCCTATAAGCCCCCGGTGAACTTGAGGTTTCCGATCGCACTTCATTTTGCTCAGACCCGATCGTAAGAGCGGGTCAGCAACTAGGTATGACGTCTCCTATTTTGCTGAAGCATTGATCTTTACAACAAAAGTAAAGTGACTGAATTAAATCCTCCACGACTCTTATATAGCACTTTCATCACGTTTGGGATGTTTACAACCGAGCCATAACCCTAGAAGCTAGTCCCAAGGTGTACGTGGTTTGATGTCTCCGTTAAGCCCGTTAGGGTGAGTTATACTGTGTCGGGTGCAGGCAACTTTTTTTGCACGTTGTGGAAATATAGGTGATAATTAGTTGGATCGCGAATGCTTTGTCGTATTCGGATTGCGAATATCCCAGGGTTGATAAGCCGGCGATAACGGTGGGTTTGACGTTGAACCATTAGCAATTCTTATCATCTGGTACCAAGCCTGACTCAAACAGTACACTGTTTTGCATTCACAAATGAACTCTGCTCATCAGAAGGGGATAGATAAATTTTCTGAGGATAATAAACCGCTCATAAAAGTGCACCCTCATAACTATCATCAGTTTATTAGCGCTGCAACATGTCATATCTACCCCAGCCGGGGCTTAATTATTACGGGTTTTGTCCGTAGCTTCTTGGGAAACGGTGTTCTAAAGCGGGTCTTTTGTGAACAGTGTTTATTATCCTCGACCTGTTAATATATCCACATCTCAAAAACAGAGTGGATATACAAACGGTAAGTATATACCTTTTGATTTATTTCAGGGCTTGTGAATACAAAACAATGTACCGTTTGAGTTACACTTGAGGTTTTTGCTCCCAGGAGTATCGCATATTATACGGAAACACTGAAGCTGTACGGGATGTGTCAAATGGCTTGACGATACGAGCACGTCGGTTAAACCGTCTCCATTCAACATGTGTTGCAGCATGCAACCCGCACAACTTATTTCTCAACCAAGCTTTGCAACATCAACATTTGTAGAAAATTTTTTTCAACATCCGTTTACTTCACAATATTCCGATACTTTTTGATTTGACTCACCTACTGCAGCGTGACTGAAGTTTGTTCGTCGAGGCGTAAGGATTGCGGGTTTTGGCCAAAGCTTGATGGGAAAAGGTGTATTTCGAGCCATGTGTGAAAATGCTTGGACTAGGTGCACTATAGAATCAAAGATTTCTTCCCCTAATCACCTGCATCCTCTAGCTCGCTGTGTTTTCGTCGTTTGCTTTATCTGAATTGAGTTTGACGGCTCCCCCATTGAATTTTGCTTCAACTTCTGTTGCTGTATAGCTATGGTAATAAAACCGAAGCAATTCACGGTTTACACGAACTGGTTACGATTTTCACACCTTTCTTAGTGCATCCTAAGCATCACAATTTACAACGGTGAGCCCACCCCCCCCCCTAGNNTACTGTCTACCACATGTTCAGATCGTTTGTTGTTGCCCCGGTTATCTCAGAACTCAAACAACGCAAGTCTTCACGACTCTTTTACACACAACAGTCTCAAACAAAGCAAAAACCAAAAATTGATTTTACTGTTGTGATGAGACTTGTTACAAACAGACGTCGGCCACAGGTCTCTTAAAAACAACTCATTCGAAATTTATCCTCCTTGGTTTATTGGTCACCTCTAATTGATCGTTTGTCGTCTTGTTCCTATACTACGTGTGTGTGACTACCGCCTCCGTCTGAAAACGGTATACAGAAGCGCAAAGGAAGATCAAAGTAGCTTCCTCCATGCTTGTAGCTTAGATTTATCCTCATTCAGCTGTTCGATATTTCTCACACACCTAATCTGCTTACTTATCTGGAGAGACCTCATCACATTTCTCTCTAATGACGATTTGACATCTCGGACTGTGCAGTTCGAAGCGCAGCTTCCAGAACGGTTTGTTGTGTGACAGAAAGGTCGGTAAACCTCGGTCATGCTATCCAATACAAGGCAGCTTCATTGCAAAACGCGTTCTCTTTCTGTCTAGTTCACTGGTGTCTCACGTTGTTACCACCGGACCAAAAACCAGATAAGTGTATGTGAATAGCTGTTATAAATTTCACTCACATCGCGTTTACACAAGAGTTGCCAGCTGGAGTGAAATGGCTAGTCGTTTCATCGTTGATGTGCCTCGTCTACGTGGCGTACGGTGAGAGGCATCGTTCATATAAATTACTCGGCCGTGGTCAAGCCATGTATTTTACCCTCGCATCTTCTCACACGTTTTATGTGTTCAAATTCCACCAATACCGACGACCACCTTTCTGTGGTGATCCAGGCCTACAAGATGACGTCTACCCTGGAGTGGCGCGTCACAGTTTTCGGACACATGCGATCAATCAGATTTGAAAGGTGACGTCAGTGACTCGCATACGGCTTCTGACTACACGAAATGGGTAGGTTGTGCCAGCCAATCCGCGACAGTGCACACAGAAGCAGAATTATGCAAGCAATGCTGCAATGCGATTAGTGGAAGCCTAGATAACCAATGATCTTCTTTCGTACATATTTAATCGCCTTCATTTCTTCCAATAAAGGAAATACGAACTACCATTCTTGTGACCTTTTCCGTGGGTCTCAGTTACGTGGGATATTGCGTGTCAGTGCCATTTCGGTCCAATGCTTCCGTAATCCAGTCCGTGATAGCTGATCCTTGATTCGTGTCCTGTGATTCCTATTGCGTGGTTCGTGTTCCGAATTCCGTACGTATTACTACTACGATCATTGCACTTTCCCAGTTCATTCTATTTCGCGGCCGCTTTTTATTTGGCCCCTTTTTATTTTTTAAATCTGGTTGCCCGCACTGGCCCAGGTAGGAAGTGAAAGAGTTATCATTCTTGATCTAGTTGATTATGCACACTGATGGTGATGAATTCACACAAGAAAGTTTCGCTCAATTAGTAATGTGCCCTGCATTTTGTGAGGGCAGTGAAGAACTTAATTTAATCATCCAACGGAATTCGTCTTATAAAGTCTTGGGTAACTTATTTCAAAGGCCTGCAAGCTGTGTAAACCTTTTTATAATAATAATCTTCGGTGGTCGACACATTCAGAACTGTGTGGGAAAATTTCGGTGCCTCTCCTTTCAGCTTCAAAAGCTCAAACAATTTCGCACTCCCCAACAAATTTTGTTCTCCCTATTTTACTTTACTGCTCCCCCTGTAGTTTTTCGCGGTCTATTAAAACAAGACTTGAAAACTCTCTGTCATGGATTGGTGATAATAAGCCGGGCATCTTTAATTTCTGCCGAGTCATTAATCACAAAATTTATTAATGGTCATATGAAGTCTTGCGTGACCTTTGCCAATAAGATTCTAAATGACCTCTCTCATCCTTTGCATTTTGACTTGTCTTCTTGTCGCTCTCACTCGTTCCTCTTATTGGTACCTACCCTCTCGAATAAACATTTATAAAAACTCCACTCTACCGTATCTGGCTCGCATCTTGACCAACAAGGAACGAGTTATAAATGAATTATACCAATCTTCAATTGAATGAATCAAAATTTGGAGACCTTTTATCTACACAGAACTCTATTGGATTTGTCTATACTTCTATATTTTCTCCGGTGTGATGACCAGTGTACAATTTTAACTGAAATGTAGGCATATCTCAGTTTGCAAAAGTTATACAAATACAAATTATTCAGTTGGGTGCATTCATTGACCACATTGAGATTCGAACTCCGTGCTGTTCGTAGCTTAATCACCCTGGGGACGAATGAAATTCGGCGTACTGTACGTCAGTATGCACCCCCAAGGAAATGAGTAGTATCACTAGCCAAACTGCCAGGGCAGTAAATTTTATTGGTCTTATGGGTCGCTGGCCAACGCGAGTCTGGTACTCTGTTATTCAAACAGCATTGGTTATTGCTTTTCTGTAGTTCAAAGAGATGGCCATTCCGAGTATGTTAATAATCACATTTTACTTTGATATATTCCACAGAAAAGCTGTTCGCTGTTGGTCATTTACTCCCAGGTTGCGAGGAAAAATTCTTTTTGTATTTTCAAACATCTAAAAGACATTTGTCAAATGCTGTCGCACAATGCAA